CCCCAAAACCCCAAAACCCCAAAACCCCAAAACCCCAAAACCCCAAAACCCCTCATTTGGAATTATATTATTAAGGACTAGAAATGATTAATCAATCACTAACTCTTGACTCGCATGTTCTAGATTTGGAAGGCAAACAGATCCTAGGTGTTCTCGGTCAGGGAGCTTTTGGCAAAGTTTACAAAGCTATCGACAAATCAACTAATCAGCACTGTGCTGTCAAAGTAAGATGACCTAATAAAGCAATTGAAAGAGACTTTCTATTCTAGTTATAGCCTTTGGTTACAATATTGAAAAAGAGCATTTGTGGCTTTCTATGAGGGCTCTTGATAAATTTGCCGGATCCTGGATAAAACATTCCAATATTAGCTCAACTTTCACTTCTACTACCTAATTATCAAAAGTTAATGAAATCACTTTGTGTCATCACTAAAGGGTAGAAGAAAGTAATTTCTAAGTGTAATCATTTTATGGAGAATACCTCAAAAGCTTAATTTTACCTCAAAATTTGGAATTGAGCAAACAGTTGGACCAATAGTTATTCCATTTCTGAAACGGATTATACATATTAATAGATGACGTGGAAGTAAATATCTGGTAGTAAAAACCCTACATCCCTCATACATTCTTTGGTGAGCAGAGCCAGAATTTGATTAACAAATCTTTTAAGCAAAGGCTCACCGTTACCTTACTAATTCACGATTCTTCGAAAACGTAGTCTAAATTTTATAGGTTATTGACAAGACATCTGTGCATTCAGAAAACCCCAAAAGTATTGAAAAATTGAGAGCAGAGGCCGAGATTTTGAGAGAACTCGATCATCCGAATATCGTGAAACTCCATGACGTAAGTCACCAGTCGGATTTATTCCAGCTTCAAAGAGTCTTTCGAACGTTTTAAATACCTTATTTTTAGATACAAGAAACCGAGGATTATATTTATATCATTATGGAGTTGGTAGATGGAGAAAAATTAGAAACTATTATCAAGAGGCGTATCCTCAATGGTAAGCCCACACCTCTAATATGTAGATGAGAAGCTTACCATGACTGAGTCAAGCTCCATCATTCGTAGTCTATTGAAAGCAGTGGAATATATCCATGACAAAGGAATTGTCCACCGAGATATTAAGCCTGGTAAGAACAACTTATTTCTAATATCACTTTGAATTTTTCTAATTTTCTGCAGAGAATATCATGGTTGCCGACCCAGATGACCTCTCTACTGTGAAGCTTATTGACTTTGGGCTAAGTGCCAAGTACGACGATACCTCTTTCTACAGCCAACTCAATGATAGGTGCGGAACTCTGGTATTCATGGCTCCAGAAGTTCTTTTAGCTAAAGAGTACACCAAGAGCGTAGATATGTGGTCAATTGGAATTCTAATGTACATGCTTATTTCAGGAGGCAAGCATCCCTTTTATAAGAAAGGAATGACCCTGTCTCAATACTGTGAAGTTTTGAGGGAAAAACCTGAAGTTAAATTCGACAGGCAGGCATTTTCGAAACTTTCTCAAGATCTGATTAGCAAACTCCTACAGTTTAAAAATATCAAGAGATATGGAGTGTACCAGGCCATTAAGCATCCTTGGATCACCAGATGTAACGAGACATATATCCCTGAAACTTTTGATAAGCTCCTTCAAAATATCACGATCAAGGAAAGATTTGGACACATTATGAAAGTGCTGTATTCTTGATCTGTCATAAATAATATTCACCAGTCAAAGCCGGTCAAGAACAAAAATTACATCAGATTATTAAACAAAGTAACCAAGACAATAGATATCTGGGAGAAGAGAGAACGTAGACCAGATTTCGAAGACGATGAAGATTATGTTGAGAGACAAGCAAGCCCTAATAAATTTGGATCTGTCTCAGACCTCTCAGACTTATCTGAGGAAGAGAAGAAGTCCTCTCAAAATTCCGAATCTGTCTATTTCTCTGAAGAGAATAGCTTTGAAAGAAGCAACAACAGTTCGGAAAAAGGAGGATGTCTAATACAACCAGTGAAGATGCTCTGCTCTCGTACAAGTCAAGTGGATGAGTCTAATAGATTCCCTACCGATCATACAGATATTCATGGATCTAAGATATCTGAGAATACACAAGACTCTTCGAAGAGGCTCAAGACAAGCTATAGATTTTCTGAAAGAAAAGCCCTACTAAATGATTCAAAATGATTAGGCTCAGAAAAGAAGATCAGAGGGTCCAAGAAGATTATATTGAAATCCCCTCAGAAGAAGTCAAGGATTAGGCTACAATTCCAGAAAGAAAAATCTAAATCAAATGGGATTGGATTAAAAGAGGCTCTGAAATACTCAGTTGCTAACAATACTTTCGTATCTGACAAAATGGTCCCATTCATGAAGAAGACTAAAAGTCATAAGTCGAAGAATACAGAGGCCAAAGAAGGCACAGGGAGCCTCATTTCTGAAGATGTCTACCTGAGCCCTAAAAGATTGAAGAGGAGAAGAATGCTCTCTGAAAACAACATGAGTAGTAACTCTAAAATGAAAAATGTGACAAATAGAAAGATTCAGTTTAAAACAAAAAGGTAAATTAGAATACTAATAGATCTAGAGGGAAGAATAAGCTTAGTTTTAAGCGAGATTCAGCAGGCCAATCCAATTTGGAGATCTCAGGGAGACAGAATATAACAACATGCGAAGAATACAATGCTTCCAGACTTGACAACCTCTGTAATTTGAGGAGTACATTACAGTTTTGTGAAGTAAGAGAGAAGAATCAGCCTCTTCATCTCCCTCAAATCATCCAATCTATGGCTAAAGCAAAAGCTTCCGTAAATGCAGAATATCAAAATACGGAAAAAGGCGATATTAATTCTTCAAAGGATGATGAGAGGTCTTTGTCTTCATTATCCGGCTCAAAGGGCTTCAGAGGCATAAATCTCAGCAGTAGGAAGTCAATACTAGGTAAGAAAGCGAGAAAATCTACGTAGAATGAAAGACGGTTTGTATCCAAACAGTCTTGGTTAAATAAACTGTACTTTTTCATTTTTCAGCAATAAGGGTATTCCCCGCATTCTTAGCGTAGAGTTTAGCTACGAAGTACATACTTTAAAATCTTTGAGATCTATGGACCCTCGGAATTTGAGGAAAACTCTGCTTCTCAAACACAGTTTTACACCATATGGAAAGTATCTGGCTTTCTCAGGTTGACTTTAATGCAAGTTCTGGCTCACCTTTTTGAACAGTTGTCACTTATAAAAATCAGCATCCTCATATTTTATAGAAACGAATAACAAATACATCAGGAAGGTGAATCGGAAGCAAAGATGAAGCTTTGTGAGACTTGACAATGCAAGGAAAACTCCTGATAACTCTGTATATTATAAAAACCCTCGTGCTAGGAATTCTCACATCATCAAGATCGCTTCTGAGACCCAGAAGGAGCTAAATGATGTATCTGGCTTCCAAGACGACCAGAGTCACCACTCTCGCTCTGCTATGAAAGACACTAGGAGATCAATTTTCATCCAAAGTCGGAAGACAGCCATTCGGAAGAAAACTCTAGCAATGAAGAATGTTATCCATAGTGCTGAGAAGAGGCGGGGGAAGAATATCTTCATTAAGGCTAACCATGCCTGGGTTTAAACAGCCATTAAAAATTCAACATAACACAAAATGTAAGGGGTTTTGGGGTTTTGGGGTTTTGGGGTTTTGGGGTTTTGGGG